GAATTTCAGGAAAACCAAGCAAAATATTTGTTATTGTTTTTGAACACAGATCTTCTTTCTCCAGATTGTGTGCTCTTCCCACATTCAAACCTGAAGCTTTCCATGTTCTTTTCAACTTACATTTTTTTCAAGTGTAGTTTGAGCAGCAGCACCATATGATTTCTTTTTCCTTTCTTTCTTTTTTTTTTTTTGGTTTGGTGCTGAAGATTGAACCTAGGGCCTTGAGCCTGGTGGGCAAGTGCTCTGCCACTGAGTTAAATCCCCAACCCAGCATATGGTTTCTTTTGGAGACAAGAAACAGTATGAATCTTACATGCTAAGATGGTTTAAATTTAAAATTGACCTACTTGTACCATAAGAAAGCAGATTTTCAAGGGGTAGAGTAGACTTGGAGATGTGCCAATTTATGTTCAGCCACTTGGTATAAAGATTGGATATCTAAATCATATCTTAAGGATTAAATGGCTTTATTCATAATCCACAACAGTTGTTGGCTTTTAGAATTTCACAAATGAAAAAGGAAAGTAACAATTCTTATAATACTTCTTCCAGACTTTTGGGGAAATTGAGATCGTTTGTGTTTTATTAATCCATGCTTTTCAGGCTTATTGGCCCATGACATGAGCAAGTTTTTTGGTGTAATGATTATTTTGTGGCTTAAAACAATTGTGACTCTTGTGGAAAAACATGTTTCTGATCATAGAGACATAGATCAGAGACTTCTATTTTCTTTTTTTTTTATTAGTTTATTTAAAAATACTGAATAGAACCTGGTTTAAACTAATTATAAAGAGATTAGGTTAGGTTGCTTTATTAATATTATGAACTAGAAACAGACATTGGACACAATCATTACATTCACTCTTCCTGGGACTGAGTCTTCTCTTCACATTCTTGGGATTTAATTTTTCCAAAAGTGACAAAAAGGGACATTGAATGATGGAAACAAACACTCAGACCAAGAATCTAAAAGTTCATATCAATAATAACTTTCTCATATTCTTGTATATTTGGCCATTACAAGGACTGTTAAATTCCTCTTAATATTTGTAGTGTCACAATTAGATAATTTTGAATTTTGGCAGTGAAATAAAGTTCTTAGAAGTCTCTTAAATACGTATAAAAATGAGAAACATAAATCTGCAATTATTTACATGGCTAACCTTAGTTTCTGTAGGTCATTTCACAGAGCTCTAGTATTTATAATGTTTTGTTTTTAGCTGAATTGGATGTTAGCTTGTCTGTATATAAACATAAGAGAAATTTCTATAATTTTTTTTTTTTTTTGGCAATTTTACCTTAACACTGAAAATTTACAGGGATTGGAGGCCAAACTGCCATAAAAATCAAAAAAAAAAAAAAACAAGTAAATAACTTGAAAAGTAGGCTGGGGTTGTGGCTCAGTGGTAGAGTGTTTGCCTAGCACCTGTGAGGCACTGGATTTGATCCTCAGCACCACGTAAAAACAAATAAATAAAATAAAAGTATTATGTCCATCTATGACTAAGAAGAATATTTTTTAAAAAGAGCATGAAAAGTTTCTTAACAAAATTGTTAAATATGCAATTTATCTTTTCAATGGGTAGATAATATCATTGAAACTCAGACTGTTTGGATCCTAATTTTTGCCCCCTTACTGTTTCTCTTGTTTAAAATATTTTGTTGACTATGTGTAATATTAGTGTTGTGAAGATGATTTTTTTGAAGTCTATTCAATGAGATCTGGGCTCTTTGTCTAAAAAAATATAAAATTAGGTATAATTAAGGGTATGTTGTCATACAGTATTAAATCATTACCAACATGGAGAGTGGGAAAAATAGTGACCACTTATGAGTCAACATCAAAATTCATTTCCAACAAGTGTGGCTAAGTAATTATAGTGCAGTCTAATTACAGATAAAACAGACTGAGCAAATAGTTAAACTCAAAGCATTTTTAATTTATTTTCAGTTGTAGATAGACAAAATGCCTTCATTCCTTCCTTCCTTCCCCTTCCCCCTTCCTCCTCCCCTCCCCCTTGAACTTGCAGACCTCTTGCCTCACCCTCCTGAGTACCTAGGATTATAGAACATGTCCCATGACGCTTAGCTCAAAATGATATTTTAAAAGGAATATGTAATATATGTAAATTATTCAGATGTCTGTAAAAGTTCAAATATATTTAGAATCGAAGGGGAGAGAGGGAGAGAAGGGAAGGAAAAGATTCAAAATCAGTTTATAAGAAAAGTCTTAGGATTTTAATTAATCCAGGATCAATTTAACTAGAGTATGAAGACTAACTAAAAAAGCTTTTATGACATTAGACTGTATCGTTAAAGTATTATCTAGAACAAGGCAAGGAATTATCCTGCAATGGTCATTCCACTTGAGAAGCACTGTGGCCAATGCTGGATACCACCTCTGAGAAGCATGCAAACAGGATGTGACCAAATGTGCTGAAGGAAACCACGACTGCTATAAAGAGGAACATGTGAAAGAACCAAGAAACCATAGACTTAAAAAGGAAGGCCTGGGAGGGGGGATGTTAGATGTCTTTGGACAGTGAAAGAAGGGTTGCTTACACTTGTTCTGAATAGTCAGAGTCCAGAATTAGTACCAAAAATTGGAAATTATGAGGAAGCACATTTCTGGTTAAAACAAGAGGAAAAAAGATTTTTTTTTTTTTTTTTTGGTGGTACTGGGGATTAAACCCAGAGGCGCTTAATGACCAAGCCACATCCCTAGCCCTTTTTGTATTCTATTTAAAGATAAGGTCTTGCTGAGTTGCTTAGGGCCTCACTAATTTGCTGAAGCTGGCTTAGAACTCCAGATCCTGGGCAAGTTACTTAGACCCTGGCTCAAAATTTAAAAAAATAAATAAATAAATAAAAGGGCTGGTGATGTAATTCAATGGTAGAGTGCTTACCTAGCATGCCTCAACTTACTGAGCCATTGGGATTACTGGCATGAACCATGGCGCCTGGCAGGAAACTCTTAATAATTAGAGTGATAGATCTAGTTGGAGGGAACTGGGAGTGCTGCAGTCAAATGGGAATGTTAATATGATCATTTTAATAATACAATGGAGTAGGGGTTGAATGAACTGAGGTTATGTCAACCTAAGGGAAAGTTCATGACTTTGATTTTGCTTAAGTAGATTTTTATTTTTTGGCACCACACATGAAAAAATTATAAAATAAATAATTTTAAAAATGTAAATCTCAAAACAAAAAAATTCTTTAATTAATTACAGCCCCCAACCCCATTGTTATCATTTACTGCTTGTCTCATGTTTTCTTAAATACTTATGAGGCTAAGTTTATTTAGGTATTCCACTAGGCCCTTTACCTCTTTTATAGCAAGTAAACATTCAGTCTGAAATCTACAATTGTAATTAAAAAATGTAGCCTCGATTGTGACAAAATTAAATTTTATGCAATGGCCATAATTTCAGAGTTTATAACTTGTAAACTCTGAGTTTACAGTGTGCCAAAATGCCACAGCATACCATGTGAGAATCACTGGGCAGCAATGATTGCTAGGGCTAAAGGGGAGAATGGGAAATATTATATAATAAAAGATCAGAAAGATTCTAGAAAGATACATCTGCCTCCCTCCAACACTGCTCTCCCCCCAACACTGTTCTCCCCATCTTTGGAGGTAAGCTATTACATCCCAGAGAACTCCTTTTAGAACCATGCGACCATTAACCTTTTCCATCAGCTCTACTTTCTTTTTTCACTTCATTCCTCTAAATAGAATCTTTTATGCCTAACTAGGGAGGTTGCACTCTTTGTAATGGATTTCAAGATTATGAATAGTGTAAATTATATATGTGGCATCATGAAATACAGCAATCACATAAAAATGTTATTGGTGAGCCAGGTTTCCAAGCCACCAATTTAATCTGATTAATGAATTAAAAGTGTTAAAAAACTATTGGAATATTTGATATAGGTATCAATATATGAGACATTATGTATTTTTTGTCCCCAAATGCTTGTACCTATCGGGAGAATATACATTGATGAAAAAAGGTATTAGCAAGGGTGGGGAGAAAGAAGTAAACAAAAAATTTTACATGTAAATAAAAATAGAAGTATTTTTAAGGTAAATTTTTTGTTAGTTTTATTTGATAGATTGCCTCTTGGATTTGCAAAAGGCTAATAACAAATTTGACTATCAAAAGAGAATAATTCTTATTTCATTTGAAGCATTCTCTAATTGAAAACATCAATTTGCAGCATCCAGGAGGACTTATTTCAATTATTATCTAAGTTTAGAATGTGTTTATATGTAGGTTGTACATATTTCTAGTTTGTATACTTTTGTGTGTATACGTTTTGTGTTTGTCAGCTTTCCATTACTATAACAAATACCTGAGATAAATCATCTTAAAAAAGGAAAGGCTTATTTTGGCTCATGATTTTAGAGGTTTCAGTCTGTGATCACTTGGCACTGTTGCTTTGGGACTTTGGTGGCACAGCGCATGATCGATCACAAGAGCATGTGGCAAAGTAGGCTTATTCACCTTATGGTGGTTAGGAAGTGAAAGAGAGAGGATGAGGAGGGGCTTGGGGTCCCAATATTTATTCAAGGGTACATACTAGTTGGACTAACATCCTTCTACCACGCCCCACCTTCTAAAGTTTCTGTCATGTCTGAACAGTGCCATGGACTGAGATTAGGCCTTCATTCAACACATGGACTTTTAGAGGACATTTAAGATCCAAGCTATAACAAGCAACTTTATGATAACATAGGGTTTTATAAACACATAGAATTCCTTTTGTTTAAACATTTACAAATAACGTTCTTTTTACTTAAAAAATTATTTTCAAGATTATTGTTATATGTACAGGATGCTAAGCCTAGAGTATTTAAACATATCAACATGTTGTTTTGACTTTCTACTATGCCTAACATTTTTGCTGCATGTGTGGACCTATAAAGGAAGTCATATACATGTATATGTGACATTTTAATTTTAACGGTTGTTTTATGTTTTTAAAATTTTCAGCATGCTGGAACAGGATTCTAGAAGAATGAACCCTAACGTGAGCCCTGCAAATCAAAGGAGGCACCTTTTAGAATTTTCTGCTAAAGAAGTACAGGACACATCAGATGGTATCATCCAGAAAAACAGCTACAGGTTAGATGGCATGTTAATCCAATTGATTTTATTAAAACGAAACAGTTCTATCTAATATAACTATACATTTCAATTGTTTGTGTATAGATTTGAAGAGTAGAACAGATGAATTACTGAGACCATTAATAATTTTATTTTTAAGATTAATTCTAAGAGTAAATTCCCAGTTTTAGAATTCTTGTAGAGATGTGGCTGAAAAATCTTAGTTTGTGTGCAGTATCCACATACATTGAAACACAAATATTATATTAAAACACATATAGAATCTTTAGTTCTTTCATTATTTTATGTGTTTGTATATTTAATTTATCTAATACTTGTTTTTGTATCATCTATGAGTGGATATGATATGGTGGAGTGATAAGGTTGAAACTTTTTCAGTCATTAGGTAAAACTAAGTGTACTTTTTGTTGTGATCTTTGCTGAATTCCTGCCTTGTTGTAATTTAATTTTCATACTGGTTGTCAAAAGCAAAAGACTTAGAATTAAATGAAAATGTAATTCCAATATTCTGTTAGCTAGAAGAAGGTTATAGTGACTCTTTTCATAGCTGTACTTTTTGATAAACATTTACGTGTGGAATTTTTGTCAGAGCCAAACGGATCCAGGGACTTGACTTATAAAGCAAAGAGAGGTCTCAGTATGGCAACCATTCCACTGTATAATACTTGAAAATTATTAAATATTTGTTGACTCTGAGGTTTTATAAACTGAGGGCTAGAGAGAAATCATTCTTTCTGACTTTTACTCTGTTATACCCATACTATTGATTGAGGTTATGACCATAGGTACAGGCTTGTCTTCGTACCTGAAAATAAAATGCAGTATTCATTTTGTTCTAAGAGTTCGAACTGTGCAAAGTACTATGCTAGGTACAGCAGAAGATCCAAAGGATTATATAGCAAATTATGTAATACAACACAGCATGTGATAGAAACCATAATATAGGAGAACATTATATAACATTTTTTTTTGTTTGTTTTGTTTTGTTACTGGAGATTGAACTCAGGAGCACTCGACCACTGAGCCACATCCCTAGCTCTATTTTTTATTTTATTTAGAGACAGGGTCTCACTGAGTTGCTTAGCACCTTGTTTTTGCTGAGGCTGGCTTTGAATTCACATTGCTCCTATCTCAGCCTCCCAAGCTGCTGGGATTACAGATGTGCACCACCGTGCCTTGGTTTTCTATATATCAAAATTTGCCACTTAAAAATTTCAGGTCACTTGCTCATCTTTAAATTAAATTTTTCTTTCTTTTTTTTTAACTGTTGAATTCTTTGATATCCTTATGTTCTGGATATTAATCACTTATTGGATCAGTAGTTATCAGATGTTTTCTTATATTCTGTGAGTTGTCTTTTCACTCTTGATTATTTTCTTTGTGGTACAAAGCTTTTTAATTTGATATAATCCATTTGTTAAAATTTTTTGCTTTTGTTGCCTGTGCTTTTAGGGTCATATCCAAAAAACCTTTGCCCAGATTAATGTCCTGAAGTATTTTCTCTCCCGTTTTCTTCTGGTTGTTTCATAGGTTCAAGACTTATATTTAAGTTCTTGATTCATTTTGAGTTGATTTTTGTATATGGCAGGCTTCTTTCTTCTGCACATGGATATCCAGTTTTCCAAGCACCATTTATTGAAGAACCTTGTTTAAACATTTTAAAAATAAGTTTCTTTTATATTTACAAAATTTATTTTCAAAATTATTTTTAGTATGAACAGGATGCCAGGCCTTGAGTGTTAAAACATATTGATACACTTTGAGTTTCTTCTATGCCTAGCACTTGTGCTGTATGTGTGTACTTACAAAGGAAGCCTGGTTTGCTTTAGAGCTATATATAGCATGTGCATATGTGTAACATTTGTTCTTACTGCCTTTGTCAAAAATCAATTGGTTATAAATACATGAATTTATTTCTGAGATCCCTATTCTGTTTTAATTGTTTGTGCGTTTTTATGCCCATACCATGCTATATTGGTTACTATCGCTTTATAATAAGTTTTAAAGTCAGATATTATAAAGCCTTTAGTATTGTTCTTCTAGCTGAAGATTGATTTGGCTCTTTAGTGGGTTCTGTATAGATTTTAGAAGTGTGCTGTCTATTTTTGTGAAGAAAGCATTTGATTGGAATTGCATTGACTCAGTAGATTGCTTTGGGTAGCATGGACATTTTAATAATATTAATTCTTCCCATCCATGAACATGGGATGTCTTTCCATTTTTCTCCATCTTCTATGAATTCTTTCATTGATGTTTTGTAAGTTTCATTGTAGATATCAACAACTTCCTTGGTTAAATTTATTCCTAGGTATTTAAAAAAATATTTATTTATTTATTGTAGCTATTGTGAATGGGATTACTTTCTTGATTTCTTTCTCAGCAGTTTTGTTATCAGTGTATTAAAAAGCTACTGGTTTTCTTTTTGAATTTTTATTTATTTAATTTTTATAGATGGGATTGTGTTGAGGGTTAATCTTCTTAAATCTAGATGGCACTGTGGTCATTACCAAACATTCCATTGTGTGCTTCTTTTAAAAAATCACAGAGATTCAAAAGCCAAAAAAGTATTTAAAGTTTATGTTTTATCTGTGTTTTTTTTGTTTATACAACTAGCTAAGAATATAGACATCAACTCTGATTGTCCCATATTGCTTTTTTCATTGCTTTTGAGCTAATTTGATTTTATTGACTTTTTCTCATCACATTAGCAAATGAAGAGATCTTTATTTTGTTTTTAATACATCCTGATCAAGTTCTCAATGAATGTTAACATAAGGAATGAATGCCAGTTAGTTTTAGAAAGATTACCATATTAAAGTACACATTTTAAATACTTTAATCATTTTTTTCTTTTTTCCTGGGCTTCTCGGGTTTGAAGAATTGCAGTGATGACTGAAGGACAAAAAATTAGGCAACTTTTACAAAGTCTCATAGAATTTCATGTTAAGGGTGAAGCCAGAAACAAAAGAACTAATTACATTCTTTCCTATTCTGTCATTCTAAAAGTGATTTATGTTAAGTATTTTAAAATTGAGACATGCAAAGAAACACCACTGGCTTCTGCTAAATTCTTATATTAGATATCTTTTTCCTTTGGAACAAACAAAAAAAATCTCAGAAGGAGACATTTGCTTAACTGTGGAAACAGAAAGGGATTCTTTCATATTGACTGAAAATGTAGATGGGACAAGGTTTTGGATTATATGTGTCATTTGAAGTTATCGAAATTTACACGTCAGTTGAATTTCCACAGTGTTTAACTGCATGAGCAGTTAGCAATGTTAATGAAATATCCTATACATTTGTAAAGGTGGTATCACAAAACTTTGTTTGAATACAGTTAAAACTATAAAACTACTGATCTTTATGTTGATTTTGTATCCTGCAATCTTACTGATTTATCAGTTTTAACAGTTTTGGTAGAATCTTCAGATTTTTCTCTATATAAAATAAAGTTGTCTGCAACATGGAGGTTGATCTTTATTTTTTTCAGATCATGATGAAATAAAATTAGAAATTTTATTTTATTTTAATTTTTTTAAATTTAATTTAATTTTTTTATTAGCTACACATGACATTACAATGATCTTGGCAATTCATACATTTGAATCATTGGGGTATAATTTCTCATTTTTCTAATTGTACAGATTGCAGAATCACACTGGTCATAGAGTCACCTATACACATACAGCAATCATAATGTCTATTCTATTCTGCTGTCCTTCCTATCCCCCCTACTCCTCCCCTCCCCTCCCCTCCCATCATTTCTTTCTATCCAATCTAATGTGACACACTTTTTTTTTTTTCTCATCACAACATCATACATGTATTCCATATAACGATGAGGGTCTCCTTCCATCTTCCGTGCAACTCCTCTTCTCCCTCTTTTTCCCTCCCACCTCTATTCCCTATTTAGTGGTAGTCTTCTTCTCATGCTTTTCCTTCCTATCCCATTTTGAGTCACTGCCCTTATATCAGAGAAGACATTCGGCATTTGTTTTTTAGGGATTGGCTAACTTCATTTAGCGTAATCTGCTCTAATGCCATCCATTTTCCTGCAAATGCCATGATCTTGTTATTTTTTAGTGCTGAGTAATATTCCATTGTGTATATATGCCACATTTTTTTAATCCATTCATCTATTGAAGGGCATCTAGGTTGGTTCCACATTCTAGCTATTGTGGAATTGTGCTGCTATAAACATTGATGTGGCTGTGTCCCTGTGGTATGCTCTTTTTAGGTCTTTTGGGTATAGTCCGAGAAGGGGAATAGTGGGGTCAATGGTGGTTCCATTCCCAGCTTTCCAAGGAATCTCCATACTGCTTTCCAAATTGGTTGCACCAATTTGCAGTCCCACCAGCAATGTATGAGTATACCCCCGCCCCATCCTTGCCAGCACTTATTGTTGTTTGACTTCATAATGGCTGCCATTCTTATTGGAGTGAGATGCTATCTTAGAGTAGTTTTAATTTGCATTTCTCTGATTGCTAGAGATGGTGAGCATTTTTTCATGTATTTGTTGATTGATTGTATATCCTCTTCTGAAAAGTGTCTGTTCAAGTCCTTGGCCCATTTGTTGATTGGGTTATTTGTTTTTTTCCTTTTACTCTTTGGATGTCCTTTATTTCTTCTCTTGCTTTATTGCTCTGGCTAAGACTTCTAATACAATATTGAATAAGAGTGGTGAAAGTGAACACCTTTGTCTTGTTCCTCATCTTAGAGGAACATATTTCTGCTTTTACACATGTAGTATAATGTTGGCTTAGGGTTTGTCACATGTAGCCTTTATTGCATTGAGGTAGTTAACTGATTTTAAAAACCTATTATTTATTTTTTAGTTGTAGTTGGATACAATACCTTTATTTTATTTATTTTTATATGGTGCTGAAGATTGAACCTAGGGCCTCACAAGTGCTAGCCAGTGCTCTACTGCTGAGTCACAACCCTAGTTCCTATAACTGATTTTTGAAGATTTTTTTTTTAATCACAAAGGAATG